GCGCGTTGTTGTGTTGCTATTTCTATTTTCTTCATTAAATGAAGAAATTGTCTAGTCGTCAAGCTGTTTTTCTTCATTCGATTCATCTCATGAACTTGGATCTATATTTGCGAGCCATTCTAACTCTTCGTCGTCGGAAATATGATTCAAATTGTCTGCCATTTGTTTTTTTTTTTCGTAACTACAATCCAATTCTTCGCTTGCACGATGCGACAAATCCTGTTTAACTGGTACTCTACATTAGACGAGTACAAATACTGCGTGATATTTGTACTCGTCTATGGCAGTATTTGTACTCGTCTAGGTATAGTTGGATAATAAGACACCATATTTAGCTCCGTAGAAGAGGTAAAATAATTTTTTGCAAAATCATAACCAAACAGCTTCTTGTGTTGGCAAGACAACAGTTCATTGTACAATTAGGAGGTACATAGGCACTACTATTCCATTTATGTTTTCTTGTAACTTCAGTATTACACTAGGGGTTCTCCCACTTACTGACAGCTTAAAAAACCTCCCTTTAATTCTAAAAAAAAAAGAAACTAAATCACTTTTGTTGGCTGGGAATTCTCAATGCATCAAATAGTTAAACTTACAGTGGGTAACACTGGCCAATGTTTGGTAAAATGTTGGAGTCTCACTACTATCAGTTAACTGAATACTGCAACCATTACTGACAATCAGCAACCATCTGGTGAGGGTGGTCACATCTGGATTTCTTAATAACCACCTTGAAAACTCCTCAAATGGCAGTCTATCAAACTGCAAAAGAAAAAATACATTAAGAACTTTGATGTTACCACAATAAATAAACTTGGTGTTTATTCTGCAAGGGAAAGTGAGAGAGAGAGAGAGAGAGAGACTTCATTTCAAGAGAGTAGCACATGACAGTAGTTAAACTGATAATCCTGTGGCCCTCTATTAACCCACCCATCCCACCCCAGGGGAGGACATCCATCACACAGTAATCTCGTATGTGGGAAATTAACGTCTCCTACCCCAACCCTGCAGGAGACGGGACCTCCATGTATTCCTCCCTATCTAAGAAGACTAGAATATCTAACCATTTCTTGATGTCATAGAAAGGTAGCAAATTCTTCTCAATTATTTTAAGACCCTGAGTGTTCAAATGTAGAGCTTAGTTTATTATTAGTAATGAGGTAAGTAAGTTGTGCCTTAAATTTCCCAAAATATTTGTATTTTTGCTGTTCAAATCGCAGCCACCTGTTTAGTTCAGGTTGTAGAGCACCAATCACCCATCAAAAAGGAAAGAAAAAATTATATAATGAACCAATTGCAATTTATGCTGTCACATTAAAAAAAGAGGAACAAAAAAAGTAAGTTAAAACGAAACAATTAGACACTGAAGATGAATAGAAACAATCAATAGCCTGCAAGTGGTCTTGCATGACTCGCACTACTGGTATCTTAATTATTTCTAAATTTTGTCTTGTCTATTTTGTTATTATCAGTTATTATAATTCTAAATGTTGTCTCACTGTCTATTTTGTTATTATCAGCATGTGGTGTTGATTGACTATCTCATCTGGTTGTCAGAATTACCATAAATTATCCAAGGTAACGAGAGACCATGAGGTGGAAATAAATATGGCAGTTATGTTCTAGAATCCTAGTCCTCTTTGTTTGCTGCTTACTACTCTTTCTCCTTAGTCAACTTTACAAATCAACATTTGGCAGTTGCTTCATGTCTACAGAATATCTTTATCAGCAATATTTCAAGTATAGATAAAGCTAAAGAACATGTTTATCTTGGTAGTGGCACCAATAGTCAGAATAGTTTCCAGGAAGAATTAATGAAGAGCATTTAATATCACAGATAATATAACAAACACCACTTAGATAAAATCTGCTATATGACAACACAATTTCATACTTCTTGAAACATTTTTGAAAAAAATTTCCTATTACAAGCATCTTGGTGACCTCTTGAAAAGAATTTCACAACAAAGCTTGACCTTTGGGCTTTGGCGGTCTTAGCTAACTTCAAAATATTCAGAAGTACAGATCGAGATCTTATTGTATTTCATCCGTTGAGACACTTTTAAGATTTTTATCTCGCACAAAAAATGGAATGCTACATCTTATGCATGGAAGCTGTTAAAGAAACCAGTATTACCTCAGAGAAGCATTCCACGACCGGTTGAGGAATATTGCCTCCATCACAAGCAAGGATCAAACTTTCCAAATTATCTTTGTACACGAATGCTCCGTCAGTTGAATAAATATTGAAAATAACTGCAAGGAAAAACAAGAAAAATAAAAAACAGAAAAAAGCTCATTACTCTTCGGCAGTGGATTATCAAACAGGATAAAACGAGTAATGATTAATTCAACTGTGGGGACATCACACACATAACAAACTTACATTTTATCTTCTCTTCGCGTGTGCCCCGGGTTAGAAGCACTAGACCACAGAGCAAATCGCGAAATGTCATACCCTTGTTTGTACCCCCGAACGCTGTGTACATTTGCTGAAACACAAAAGAAAATGTTTACAAGGGTTCAAGATTTAAGCTTAAAGTAAAGAAGCTGTCTATAAGAAGTCTAATGTAAAGATGCAATACCCTTACCTCAGCCACTTTGCTGGGTACACCATCACCAAGAACTTCACGAGCAAACACCGGTTGAGGCATAAACCCACTAACACCGGAACATCGCTTGAAGGCCAGTCTAAGTCGTTGCATTTCATCGTCTGTAACTGAAGGAGTTTCAAACAAAGAAAACGAAAATCAGCTGGAACATGTATCGAAACTTACTTAACCTGGTGAACAGGTCTTTCAATCGTGACAAGAAAACTTACCTCTCTTTGTCGCTTCCTCGTACGGGAGGAAGCAAAGTTTTGACTCCCTTAGACCCATATTGAAGTAGCCTATAAACCTCTACATTTTTTCGAGGTTGTCGTTGTCCCAATAAACAATGTTACCAATAAACATAGCACCTTGCAAAGTCCTGATCCCG